CTATGACTTCAGGCGGTTCCACTGCTTAACAGCTCTCACAATCAGGAAATACCTCCTTATTCTAAATTGGAATCTCTCCGTGTAAAGCTTTCACCCACTGAGCCTTTAGTTATTGTCCTACCTCAGTGATAGCTAATCTTTTCAGCTTGGTGTGTCGAAAATCGGGAAAAAGTGTAGCCTTCCTCGGGTCGTGTGTCACTTCAAGAAATATCAATAATTTGGTTTATGACGGACTGGGCTGGGGTGATCACACAGGGCTGTGAAACTCGTCTCCCTGGTCTCAGGGCTGCAGGTGCAGGATGTGGGGATCGGAAGGCCACCTTACAGGGCTGTGAACCTCATGGATCTCCTTTCCTCCTGTAGCGTTCCTGAGGTAATGAAACTGACAAACCTCAGTTTATGGCGGTTAAAACTGGTTCTCTGCTGCAAAGATCTTGCGGCAGCGGTGACACCACGCCTCCACGCAACAAGCTGGGAGCAGGGATTGGAGCAGAGCACAGGCAGCCTCTAAATGTGCAGGTTTTCCCCACACCAACAGGCGTGTCAGTCAAAGTGCCTCAGCACGTCACGAGTGACACGCATGTCATAGGTTAGCCATCACTGTCCTACCTGGAAGCCCTACGAAAATAATTCATTTCCTGTTCCCTGGGAAAGCCCTACAACTATTGGGAGAGGCCACCATGTCTCTGCTTGGTTTTCTCTACTTTAAATGTACCCAGTCCCTTTAATTAATCTTCATAAGATTTGGTCTCCAAGTCCCTCCCTATCTTCATTATTCTTCTTTGCATTTTTTCCAAGTCCTCAGTGTCCTTCTGGTATTGTGATGATGATGATGATGATGATGATGATGGTGTGTGTGTGTGTGTGTGTGTGTGTGTGTGTGGTTTTTTTTAAGTCCATATTTATTTATTTTTACAAAAAAAGGTTGGGGCAATGCAGATATTAGCACCATATTAAAGAACAACAAGCAACTTGGGCCCAGGACATTATGAAATTTTAGTGGTTTATTAAAAAGCTGAAAGGAATAGGTGCTATCCAAGAACATAGAGGACTGCTGTGGTAAGAAGTGAAAGCAAGATCTGCAAAGGAAATAACCCAAACTGGCAAGCTAACTTAAGGACTGGAGGTGTGGGAGGTGGAAAGATTGTGTGGGTGAACAAGAAGTGGCACAGAATTATTTTGTGCATCAGAAGCCACTTGTGGTAACTGGCAAAGAGTTGGCCCTCTCTACCCTGAAATCCAGAAATCAGCCAAAATTTTCACCACTTGAAACACACTTTCAAATGCACTTTAAACAAGTAATGAGATTAAAGCTCACTTCTCTTCTTTGTCCCTCCCTAACTAGACCCAAATTGTGGTTTTCTGCTTGTGCTAAGGGGTAACAGGGAAATGGAGTTCTTCACACAATTGGTCAGAAATGGGGGGGGGGGCATTAATTAGGGGACTTAAGAATGGTTGGGAGGAAGAAGGAAAAATATAAAACAGGTACAAGTTCTTATTTCTGGTGATGCTGATTGGTTAACTGGTTTGAATAGAATTTCTTTCTGGAAATATCTAATAGGGTAAGGGATTAGCTTTTGATAGCTAAAGAAAAGGTTATTATTTCAGATGTTTATTGGTTTTTAATTTGGGGGGCAATATTTAATTGTTTAGAGAAAGATGAGGGGAACTTTCCCCTAATGGAAAGGGGATTCTGTATTTATGTCATTAGGTATTTTTGTTCATTTTTACCAGATCTTTGCTGACTGATAAGAGCTGAAGATTTAGAATTGAATTTATCTAAAAGGAGGGGAGGTGTGGAATAAAGAGTTACTTGGTTGTATTTTAAGAGACAGTGGTAAATTGCTAATGTTGAATATACCTGTTGGAGGATAAAGAGGAAAGTTTCTTCCTTCCTTCCTTCCTTCCTCTCCTCCCCTCCCTCGGGTTCTCTACTCTCTTAATATTTTTTAAATATATTTCCGTATAAGCTGTTTGTATCTGTTTAATAGGTTTAATACAATTGTGCTAAAAAAAGAAATGAAGGCCAATTAATCATCTCCACCCACACTCCCTCACTACACCAATTCTTCCTGTAAAATGGCAATTTCAAATTATTTATAAGTGATAACTTTCGAAAAAGAAAATTTCAAAGGAATCATCAACCGCACTTGAAAAAGCTCACTTTGCAATCAACAATAGGAATTTACAAACAGTTCACTAGAATTCTAAAGTAAACCAAGGAATATTCCTGCCTAAAGAAAAATATGTTGGCCTATCTTTTACCAGAAATGTTAAGCTTTCATAGCAAATGCAGAAAACTTGGGGAAAAAAATCACGTTCCAGTCCAGAGGATTTAATTCATTATCACGTGCTGAATTTACTGAAGCCCCTGCCATGATGCAGAGATGGCGACTAGATTAAATGACTTCATAATAATTTCATGAAGGGCAGTATCAACAGCTGCCATCACAGAGGCTTTATGAAACTCGTATATTCAGACATGATTTCTCTCTCTCTCTCTCTCTCTCCCTCTCTGAATGTTAGAGGCTGTCTAGAAAAGGTTTCATTTCCTATGGGCTTCCCAAAAAGGAGAGTTCTGATTTAGATGGACCCCTTCAGTCCAATCTAAACATTATATAACCTTGTTCTGATGAGAGTGTCAGTGTGCCTCATCGATTGTCCCTTCCTAGTTATATTTAATTTATTTATTTATTTTTGTTTGTTTGTTTTAGTTTGTCAAGCATGTCTGAGAAAATAAGCATAAATATGAACACAAATGGGTATAAGTATATACATAATAAATGAGTATGAATAAATGGGAACAGTAGGACAGGGACAGTAGGCACGCTGGTGCGCTTATGCATGCCCCCTTACAGACCTCTTAGGAATGGAGTGAGGTCCACAGGAGACAGTTTAAGGTTAAAGTTTTGGGGGTTTGAGGATGTAACAACAGAGTCAGGTAGTGAGTTCCAGGCATTGGCCACTCCGTTGCTGAAGTTGTATTTTCTGCAATCGAGTTTGGAGTGGTTTACTTTGAGTTTGTATCTATTGTTTGCCCATGTGTTATTGCATTTTTATTGGGTTATTTTTATTGTGTTATTGTATTACTGTATTGTTATTGTGTATTGTTACATATTATTATTATTATTATTATTAATATTTATTACTGTATTATTATATTTACCCTGTTGTGGTTTTTCTGAAGACCTTATATAAGATGTAGAATTCTATCAGTCATGAGAACACAGTCATGCGCTCCCATGAGTAACTATGGTCATGACACTGGCAAGAAGAGACTGGTTTTCCATAAAGTCTAGTAACCACAGAGCCCTCTCATACATTCCTGCATATTCCATGACCATTGGGAAGCTTCAGGGAAATCAGTACAGGTAGTCCTCGACTTATAACAGTTCATTTAGCAATCGTTCAGTTACAACCGTACTGAAAAAAGTGACTTATGACCGGTTTTCACATTCGCAACTGTTGCAGCAACCCCATGGCCACATGATCAAAATTCAAACATGTGGGAAACTGGCTCACATTTATGACGGTTGCAGGGTCTTGAGGTCATGTGATCCCCTTTGGCCCCCTTCTGACAAGCAAAGTCAATGGGAAAGCCAGATTCACTTAACCGAAGTGTTACTAATTTAACAACTGCAGCGATTCACTTTACAACTGTGGCAAGAATAGTCGTAAAATGGGGCAAAATCCACTTAGAAAATGTCTCCCTTAGCAACAAAACTTTTGGGGTTAATTGTGGTCGTAAGTTGAAGGTTGTGTGTAGAATGCAAGTACTAGGCACTGATAGGATAAAGGAAAACTGAGCTCAAAATAGGCTTAAGATCCAGATGGATCTCGACAGACTCGAACTGTAGATTCAATGGAGAGAAAAATAATCTTTACCCTCAGGCAAGAAAAACCAAATGTACAGGTACAGATTAAGTGAAATTTGGCTCAATAGCAATGACTGTGAGAAGAATCTTTTGAGGAGCCCACCTACCTGAAAATAATTATTGTACTCTAGGACTATCATTAAGTGTTCTACCTTATGATTCTCGACTCTTGACGAATGTTCCTTTTCTTTTATGTATACTTAGAGTATTTACACCAAGACAAATTCCTTGTGTGTCCAATCACACTTGTCCAATAAAGTATTCTATAGCCAAGGTTGGGGGAAAACTGATCTACATCCTCAGGCTCTACACATACAAGCAAAGTCTTTCTCTGAAACAACACATTATTTTGGACCATGAAAGAGGACATTAATAAAGGAAGGTTTTGGAAAAGAGAAAAGGGTTTGACAGGAGCTGAACCTTACATTAAGCTACAAGAGATATTTAAACCTCTTCACAGAAGGAAAAAACAAAACCACTGTTGGCTGCGATAGTAAAATTTAGCCATATTCTTAATTCTCTAGATTAAAGCTACTATCAGGTTTAGTTACCCACTCTCAGTAGCCCAGTCTGGTCAAAATAAGCCAAAAATATAAAGCATGCTAAAAATATAGCTAAGTACATATCATTATGGCAGTGTATTTTTAAAGCAGCTACTGAAATAGGATAAAGTAAGGAAATATTGCTGAAAAAATGAGATTTTACTGATTCTTTTTATGTACACATGGGCTTTCCAAAATTCCTATGCATCAATCACTAATTTCCATTGCCATTGGAACAGCCCACTTCACTCTGGATAGCAAGTTTTAATAAACTTGTTTCTTAAAAATGCTAGGAATTTTCTGTTTTTTTTTTCCCATGCAAATGGAAGGGACAATGGGAGTTGAAACGAATTAAGGCTGAGTGGTGATTCACATGAGCTTCTGAAAGAGAAGATGAGGCTGGACGAAATAATCCTTGGGTCCTTGTAAAATAAATTTCATTTAAAACTGCCAGAGTCTTTTTTTTTTTTTTTAAAGAGTCTCCGTTTGGAAATGTACGATGATTTCAGAAAGACAAAATGCTTAAACACAAATGCAGGCTGATGGAGCTTAAAGCCCTAATTTTAAAAAAAAACACACACATGCAGATAAAAAGGTGGAACTGGATGCAATTTGCACAAAGCATGCACACTGCATCTTAACGCCCCGAGAGACATCCCAGAAGAAGAGCCAGAGGGGGGAACATAATGTAAGAAGTTTAGAAACTTGGCTTTCCCCATCAAAAAAGGGGACTGCCCATTCTGTTGAGCGTGCACCCCTTGCAATAAATTTGAGTCAGCACAACAACAGCTCTGCAGTCTTCTGAAGGGAAGCTGATCAGGTGGTTGCAGAGCCCCTGGAAACGGCAGTACGATGCAGCTGAAGAGGCAACGCACAACCCACAGACAAACTGTGGCTCGGCTGGAGAGCAAACCGACCTTTGCATTTGAATCTTCCAGGGAAATGATGCACTAAAGGCTACAGTGGAGAGAGTGAGGTAAGTTGCTTTGGCCGTTCCCTTTGCCTCCTTTTATGACCCAATCCTCTTGCCAGAGAATGAGGTATGTGCGCGCTGGTGTGTTATGTGCCTAAAATAAGAAAAAATATAAAAAATCGAGAGAGACGGGGGGAAAATATGGGTGGTGGTGGGGAAACTGTCGTCTAACTTGGCAGTTCCCTGCACCAGCGATCTGCTGCAGTGACAGCTACAAAATCGCCGCTTAAATGTTTGATTTGGTCCTGAAACTGTTTCTATCTTGAAAAAAAGGGGCTTAGGGTAAGAATGGAGAAGAAGCACCTCAAGAAGAAACCCAGGCAGGGAAGTGTGCTTTAATAGTCTCCGAATGCATATTTGAGAATTGTTGAGAATATTCTCAGCGATTTCTAAGCATGCCTCAAATTGCTCCGAATGCATTTTGGAACCATGGACTCCGTTTGCTCTTGCGTGCCTTACAGCTACGGCATGGCTAAAGGGAGCTGCTATAACGACCGCTGGCATTTTAAGACCTAACACTTACATCCAGCTCAAGTCTGCCTGCCACCTTCGCACAGAAGCATCATTTTATAACAGAAAGAATATCCGACAGACAAACCGGGGATTCAGACTGAGAGAGAGAGAGAGAGAGAGAGAGAAAGCAGACATTGTACAACGTTTGGAAGAGCCTAGCAGTTTGGGAAGAATGCTACCATTAGGAGCTGGAGGAGGATGGGAGAGTGGAAAAGGGAAGGGAGAGAGATGAGGTGGAAACAGATCAGGCTGTTTTGACAGACAGCAAGACAGGACGATGGAGAGTTTCGCTAGAAATAAGCATGTTTTTTCGGCACCGTTAAGGATGATGCCACAGGGATATGCCACAGGGGTGAGGGTATGTCTGACTTTATTAAAATGCAACTCTACTGGCAAGGGGTACGTGCTTCCCCCCCCACCCCAACAAAAAAACAACAACCAGCCTTCTAAAATTTGTGATAAACTGGGCATGTGTTACATGTTTGCTTCTAGGCAACAATGGAGACCCGGATCTTGAAGGCAACGCTTGGCACCCTGGCTCTTCTCGTCTTTATACCAGCCATTCAGGGTATTTGTCCTTCTTTGTGTTCATGCTCAGGAAATGATAGAAACGTGGACTGTTCTGGCAGAAACCTGACCACGCTGCCCTATGGACTTCAGGACAACATTACCTATTTGAATTTGTCGTATAATCGTTTTGTGGACCTCAACCACCAGCTGACTCAGTTTGCGAATCTGAGAACCTTGGATGTTTCCAACAATTGGCTCCGGAGCCTCCCAGCTCAACTGCCCAGGTCTCTGTGGGAAATATATGCCACGCACAACAGCATCAGGGTTCTCCAAAAGCTTGACACGGCCTACCAGTGGAATCTTAAAGTCCTTGACGTGTCCAGGAACATGGTGGAAAGGGCTGTGCTTATTAACAACACAATGAGCAGCCTCGTGTTCCTCAACCTCAGCAGCAACAAGCTTTGGACTGTCCCCACCAACATTCCCATCCATGTGGAGATCGTGGATCTATCCAACAACTTCTTGTCACAAATCCTTCACGGCACGCTGAGGAGGCTCACCCACCTTTCCCAACTTTATCTGCACAACAATAAGTTCACCTACATCCCTGACAAAGCATTTGACCAGCTGGCTCAGCTACAACTCATCACACTTTACAACAATCCCTGGGCGTGCAAGGATAAACCAGCAGCCCTCTCTTATTTGCGGGATTGGGTAGGTAAAACACAAGCCACAATCTTTGGGGTGCCGTGCCCGGAGGAGGAGGAGGAGGAGGTGTCATGGGAAGGCTCCGGGCCATTCTCAGCTACTCCAACCCTGGCACAGAACCACCTCTTCGTGAAAGCCATAAAGGCAGTGGATACAACCGACTCTGCAGAAGCAACTGAACAGAGTGAATTAGCGTATGAACAACAGTCCGGAATGACGGACATCAATGTAAACAGCACCGATGACCCAACAATAGCATTCACCAGCACTGACAGGCCACTGATTCCCTACCCCCAAAATCTCAGCACAGAGAACCTTAATTCTTTCGAAGTGGCTGCAGCCACGCACAGGGTCTACATCCAAGATACCACCTCTGCGAAGTCCAGAACAAAAGGTCTGGCCGAAGTCCCCACAATTCCTATGACCTTGAGGATCACCAGCGGGGTGCCTACAAACTACCCAACAAAACAACAAAGCACAACCATAAAGAAAGAAGAACGCACCACAAAAATGAGCCCTCGCGCACCCTCTAAAGCAAATGTGCCCAGGGGGTATTTGTTCTCTACTGTCATGCTTGCTGTGGTGGCCCTGGCAACTGGCAGTGAATTTGTGTTTAAATGAATGAATTGCTTCATTATTCCATATTAATAACATGTCTGGGGAGGGGGAGGAGGGGGAGAGAGAGATGCTCCTGTTCCACAATGAATTACTGTAGATGCAAGAAGAAATGCCTGTTTTTAAGATTCTGAAATATGACTGAAGAATATAATAACTCCTCTTGGATGGCAGGGCTGCAGAAAATCACGTCTTGGTAACCAAGCTGCTACTTAAATTATGTCTTACTGAATTAAGAAAATAAAAAAAGGAAGAAAATTATACCCAATAATACGATTGTTTTTATGAAATGTGTTATTTTGTATTTACATTTTTAATTTTCTTTCACAAAAATATTTAAAAATGTCAGTATTTTCTGTATTGATTATGAATAGTTTTGTCATTAAACATCTCAAAACAAAAACATCCAAAGGCCTGTGTTATACATCTACTGGCTGAGTTGCCAGGCAGAGAACCTTGGAATATATAAATGCTAATTCTTTATCAAAGATGACAATGCATAGAGGGGGGGAAAAAGAGAGGGCGGGATAAAGATATCTAAAACACAACTACCTCTAACCGTGGTTTGTTGCCATAACTCTTACTAACATCCTAGAGGAGATGGCACACGAGGCTATTTGCCAGCTCCCATCAAGTTTTCATTCAGTATTAATGTCTAATTACTGTTTAAATGGCCAAGATGCTGAGCTTGTCGATCAGAAAGGTTGGCAGTTTGGCGATTCGAATCCCTAGCCCTGTGTAACGGGGTGAGCTCCCGTTACTTATCCCAGCTTCTGCCAACCTAGCAGCTGGAAAGCATGTAAAAAAGGCAAGTAGAAAAATAGGGACCCCTTTGGTGGGAAAGTAACAGTGTCCTGTGACTCTTCGGGCGTTTAGTCATGCTGGCCACATGAGCACAGAGATGTCTTCGGACAGCGCTGGCTCTTCGGCTTTGTAACGGAGATGAGCACCCCGCCCTTAGAGCCAGAAACGACTAGCACGTATGTGCGAGTGGAACCTTTACCTTTACTGTTTAAGTAGGCCTGGGAGCCTGAAGTCCTTAAGATGTTGCAGAAAGATTTCACTTATTCATTAGAGTTATGTCATATTTCCCTTTCATTCGGAGCTGAAGGTAGTACAACGAAGTGTTGTCCTCTCATTTTGCCCACAACAATTTTGTAAGGTAGGCTGGCCCGAGAATGAATGACTGGCTCAATGTCACCTCAATGTTCCCATCCCTAGGTCTCTCCTGGGCCAGCGAGTACCCTGACTGCTACTCACAGCAAACAAACAATGGTTTAAGTATTTCAAACCTAGCCCATAGCTCTCTTAATGTCATAATCCTCCACACAGGTTGAAAGTCAACATCAGTGGCCCCATGCTCACTCAGCCTCAGGTTGGGGAGAGCAGACCTACTGTATTTGATTTCTTTCATCAAATTTCTACCCAACGGTCAGCCCTGCGAGGCAGGCAAGGCCAACCACACAAGCATAGCATGGATTCAGGTAATGCTTTTGACTGCTGCAGAGTAGAACAACAGAATCTTGCAAGCCCAGTTGAGTTTCTCTCTGACCCAGCTAGTACTAAGCAGAATCCAGGGGTCATTTTGAGTTTCTTTCATGTGCTTCCCTCTTTGTCGAGCAGAATAATATTTTCTGAAAGTTCCCTCTGCAACAGTTTGCTCCCTCCCTCCTCATTCCTAAGGCCAGCTTTCCATTCTTCCACAGTACAGGAACCATTTTTCACTGATAAACGAACACAGTGACTTAGTAGTCTGGAAACTAACCGCAAAGTTTAAGGTGAGCCAATGTTGCATTTTTGAGGGCTTAACAGAGGTGGGGAACTATGGCCCTTTTATGACTTGCGGACTTCAACTCCCAGAATTCCTGACCCAGCCATGCTGGCTCAGGAATTCTGGGAATTGAAGTCCCCAAGTCATAAAGGGGCCATAGTTCCTCACCCTTGGCTTAGAACCACAAACTGAGATAAATAAATATGTTTGCATCATTTAATCAGGTGAACATGGCATATAATAAAATGCCCTGACGTGCCACGCAGGTGTGGGCACACAGGAACTGTCTATCTAGCTCTGGATGGAGCCCCATCTCTGAAGGTGTCCATTATTGCTTAATGGATGCCTTCAGAAGATTCATCCTTGAATGATTACCTAAACCTCAAGCCTCCTTTGTTTAAGTTTAATGCAGTTTCTATTCAAAAAGCAAAGGGCGGGTGGGGGTGGGGGTCATTATGAGAGTCTAACAAAAGAGGTCAGGTACAGGTGGAATTGCCACGAAGTTTCATTGATGAGAACCTGGCTGGCTGGAAAAAGTCCAAGCCTTAGTATCTCTAGATTGAAAAGGATCTGGGAAGCAAAGGATGGGAAACACCCTTCTCTGCAAACCCATCCTAGAGTGCCGTCAATCTGGAGCGCTACCGCTATCGCTACTACTCCCAAACTTCCTGCCCAGCAACGCCAATGGCCATACCAACTGGGGAATCTGGGAGATTGCAATCTTAATGTTTAGGAAAGGTTGGCATGAACCACACCGAATAGTGCAATATACACTATCCCAGTGTTTTTCAACCTTGCCAACTTGAAATAATGTGGACTTCAACTCCCAGAATTCCCCAACCAGCAAAGTTAAAGAGCGTTGACATCCACATCTCTTTTAAGTTGTCGAGGTTATGTGTCTCAGGGTCTTTTCCGTATACCCAAGTCAGTGGGCTCCAAAACCCAAGAGAACCAACACAACCGTTATCTTGGGCAACTTATCCAGATATTATGAGAATCAGCCTGAAGGAGTCTGGGCTAATCAGAGATGTCACCAATAAGAATGATGGGCAGGTAATCTTTGACTTACAACCACAATTTAGACCTGAATTTCTATTGCTGAATAAGGGGGTTAAGTGAATTGCACCCAATGTTATGACCTTTTTTTGCCATGGTTAAGCAAATCACTGCAGGTGTTAAGTAAAACATGTGGTCCTTAAATGAATCCAGTTTCTCTCATTGACTTTGCTGATTGTAAGCTGGCTGAGAAGGTTGCAAGCATTGATCACATGACCCTAGGACACTCCATAATAAATACATGCCTATTGTCAAGCACCCAGGTCATGAGCACGAGGACTGGGTGTAAGTCACTTTTTCTCAGTGCAGCTGAACTCTGAACAGGCGAGGATTGTAAGGCGAGGATGGCCTGTAATTGATATGTGGGCAGGAAGTTAGGAAGAGCCACAAAATACTTGTAGGATGCAGCTCCTGCAAGTGTTTCTCAACTTTAAGGCATGTGGACTTCAACTCCCAGAATACCTTGCTAGCTGGGGTATTCTGGGAGTTGAAGTCCACGGTCGCTTAAAGTTGTCCAGCTTGAAAAAAACAGACTTGCTGGAGAACAGAGAAGCTGCAGGAAGTTCCTACTTGGTGAAAACAGTGAGGATGCTGCTCCAAGGAGCAATTATTTTGGTTCTGCTCTCTTTTCTCTTTGCTACTGCAGCTTCCAAGCAATGAAGGCTGCAAAGAAATCCACGCCCGTTTCCCTTTGGAGAGGCTGTGGACAGCGGCTCCCTGACCAGAATGTAAATTGTCTGAGCTGGATGCAAGAGGTAGAGGGACAGGATTGGCATAACTGCCTGTTCTTCTGCCTATTCCTCCTCTGCAGCTTCCCCAACAGGTTACATATTGCAGCAGCCATTTCCATGGTTACCTGAAGCAGAGGGTTCAGAAAAAGGAGGTCTGCTGTCCTCATTAGAAAACCGTATATTTTCCCCACTGTGGATCAAGGGGAGAGAATGGCAAAACAATGAAGGCAGGAGAATTGACAAGCTCGGTGCATTGTTAGATAAATGCAGCACGGCAATTTCATTAAGACTAGTTGCAATGGGGTCAGCTCAGGGAAAGGAACAGCCAAGGGGTCTGGTGCGGCTCACCTGTGCCAAGGCCAGAAAGACAAAGTAAAAACAAGATACAACACACACACACACGCATCCAAGTCCTTTTAGCAACCTTTTCTGAGTCAGAATAGGAATAAACAGATTAACAGAGTTGGAAGGGACCTTGTGGGTCATCTAGTCCATCCACCCACCCCACCCAAGCAGGAGACCCTACACCATTTCTGACAGGTGGCAGTCCAGTCTCTTCTTGAAAGCAAGAGCTTAAGGAGGAATAAGCAATAGCATTTAAGACTTATATGCCGCTTCACAGCGCTTTATAGTCCTCTCTAAGCGGTTTAGAGAGTTTTCACCATGAAGTTTCCAGATGGAATTCAAAGTGCTGGTTTTGACTTAAAATATCCTGTGGCACTTACAGGTCTGCCACACAGAAGCAGCCTCTGAACTCGGCTAATAGGGATTTGCTGCCAACTTCCCTCAGAAGTTTGCCCTTCCCTCAGGGCAAAGGGGCAGCAGCCTTGTTTGGTGGCAGCCTCCATATTACGAAACAGCCTCTGGACATTAGGTTGGCACCGGTACTATTGGCTTTCTAGAAATCATTGAGACAGAATGTTTGAGAGGGCTTTTGGGTGGACATAATCCCCATTGCATTAAGCATTTTTCTTTTCTTTCTTTTTTTATGTGTTCACATCCAAGAGTCCTTCTCATCTACTAACTTCTGGTTTCTTGTTAACCTTTCTTCAAGTTAGCAGTATTTTGAAGGGAAGGGAGTGCTGTTCATTTAATTGAATACAGAATAACAGATTTGGAAAAGGGCTCAGAGGTCTTCTAGTCCAACCCACTGCTCAAGTAGGAGACCGTAGTGTCAACTCATAAAACATTTCTAAGGTGTTCCCCATGGCCATATGTGTCTCAGAGTCAGCTACATCCAGGCAATGCTGGACAATTTAGTTCCCAATAAATCCTTTTTAAGTTTTGGAAGTTTGGTTCAAGACTCATGATTTAAATGGGAGTAACTGCCGGAATCCTGACACGTATTATGTCAGACAAGTGACCACCTAGTCTCTTCTTAGAAAACCTCCAGTAATAGAGCACCCACAAATTCTGGAGGTGAGTAACTCCACTGATGAATTGGTCTTACTGAAAGGAAATTTCTCCTTAGTTTTAGGCTGGATCTCTCTTCAACAAGTTTCCAGCCATTACTCCATGTTCTCCCCTCAGGTGCAATCGAGAGTAGACCCCTCTCTTCTTTGTGGCAGCCCCTCAAGTATTGAAAGACTGCTAGCATGTCACCCCTAGTCCTTCTTTTTTGTTAGAATTTTTTACACATCTACTGTAAATCTTTCAGCGATGTGTTAAATCAGGGGGTCCTCAAAACTTGGCAACTTTAAGACTTGTGGACTTCAACCCCCAGAATTCCTCAGCCAGCTTTGCAATATCCAACTTCCTTCAGTAGAGTATGTCGTATAACCTGATTATATCCAGCTTTTTTGCTGCAACATTTACCAGCGGTTCATTTTCAGTTTTGCACACTGAATTCCAAAAAAAGACTACAGAGTCAGGAAATGTTGGTCTCACTGTATCATTACAAACTTAAAGAGATCAGCAGCCCAGTGCTCTGGTTTCTGCAAAACACACATGGGCTGCCCTACAAAGGTCAAAACCTTTCACACCAAAGAAAAAAAGGCACATGCTACTTTTTAAAAAGGCAGAGGCATCCAAATTTACCTCCACCCACTCTCCTTTCTAAAACTGAGTAACCATCAAAGAGAGAGAGGGGAAGTGAATGCACACCTAAAACTTGGGTGTTTTGAAAAAGGTTTAGAATATAATGCTGGGGAGGGAACCTTTTGGTGGGCAAGATCCACAAGGAACTTTTTTCTTTTTGGCGAGATGAAGTATTGCAGTACAAAGGGAAACAGTGAAAGCTTCCAGGGCTGGGATTTCCCTCTCCTTAAAAAAAAAAATAGGAGAGGATCTGTTTGGTTTTTTTAAGTGTTATCGTATCTATTTTGAGATTTGTGTTACTGTTTTTATGTTTCCTCCATCAATATTGCAGGGTGGCCTTGGTATTATAAGCTATCTCTCTGCCATAATGAATTACCAAGGATTTTCGTTAATCAGGCTGCAAAAGTTAACAAAGTGTGAAATATGACTGTCAGCATTAAAATAGTTATGCTCCTAAGCCATCTGTAGTTTTAACCTATGCTTATGATCAAAAACCTTGTTGCCAATTTCTCTTGGGATACTTTAATCTCGTTCAGGGGCATTCAATGTTAATCCATCAATTCATGGAATAAAGCAGCTGTAGATAATAAGGTGCATTGTTACTGTACAAGCAGTAGAGGTGAAATATGCTTTGAACGTTTTTAAAAATACTTCCCGAACCATACAGATAGTCTTTCTATTTAAAACAATATTGACTTTGGATTTTGGTTTGCAAACAAGGAAATGAGTCCTTTGTTAGCTGTGTGCTTACATCACTCTTGACATAAATTGCCACCCTTGATATTCTGGGACAGCTATTTCGAAGTCTGGATAGTAGTAGTTAAGCTAAGGAAGAGCTTTCCATCTTCCAAGGCGACATTCAGAAGGAGAAGAGAAGGCAGAAAGAGGTATGGAATTTGATACAGTTGTGTAACTGCATCATTTCTGTAAATGATGGTAACTGATCCTTTGATTTTTGCCTGCTGTCCCACTTTATCCCAAGGACACAAGAATTGCAAGTTTAGTGTTGGTGGTTTAGCTGGTTATTTATTTATTTTTTGTCTCAATGTGTTAGGTTGTCAGGTGCAGAACATGTACAGGTTTTGCTTTGCCTGGGTGGTTGGCTTTGGAATGAGTGATCTTAATTTTAAAGGAGGATATTTGTAGCTCAGGGTTGAAATGACGGGTCCTTGGTGCTCTCTGAGCTTGGCTGTTTTCTTGCAGACATTTTTTTATCCCAAACTAGGTAACATCATCAGTGCTAGCTAGCACTGATGATGTTACCTATTTTGGTTGGTGAAATGTCTGCAAGGAAACAACCAAGCTCAGAGAGCACTAAAGACACCTGATCCTAATTATATATTTGTGGGAGAAAGAGTGATCTGGATTTTGGATGGCAAGTCTTGCAACTTTTTCCCATT